TATATATATATATATATATGATTCTTTAATTAATGACTCTCACTAAAGCCCACCCTAGACATGTGTCACCTACTGGTTAGCTGAAAGGGAAATGGTACAGAATTAGCCTTGATGATATGCCTCTAGGTAAGTTCAATTGTGTCGAGTAAGTATGAAATAGTGTGCATGGATGAGTCAATTAATAGGCATCGAGATGAAGGGAAATGTGATGCCCAAAGACTTAATTTGAAAGAATTATATATTTTCTCTTTTTGAATATATTAGATCATCTAATTTCATTTATATTCAATTTTATACATCAAAAGCATCAATTTTCAATTATCATATCAATTGCCAATATACATCACAAATCAAAATTAATATGCAATAACTAGAATTTCAATCTATATGATCCATCTATTATAACCCTTCTAGTTATAAAAGAACAAAACAAAATGTAAAATAATAAACTAAACCTAAAAATTTGACTCTGATCAATATCACTCTACTGGCCCCCTTCGTATCCCTGCAATCAATTAAGCCATAATAATGATCTTACTAGCTGATCAAGTTATCAGAAACTACCAAAACAATCAATACAATGTAAAGAAGTTAATATGTTATTTGTCCATTACTCAGTATGATCAATATGGAAGCCTTTATACAAATGAATTAGTTAATCAATAAATATCATAAGTTAATATGAGCAGTAATCTAGAAAAGCCAAAGAGCATGTAGCACTGAAATCTATAAAGCATCTTTTACTACAAATTTGTAATGAAATTGTATATTTATTAAAACATGAATTAGTAACTCTATATTATTAATCTATCAGTTCTATTAGTAATGAAGGTGCATGTGTCACATCAGTATGCCATGTAACTATGGTGTTGTCGTTTGCATGTTATTATTATATCAGTATATTTAATACATACAATCATGAATGTTGTATCAGTAAATCTGTATATGTTTCAATCTAAGTTTGATTCCGCCCCTTTCATGTATACAATCATATATCTATATCTTTATATTGCTATAATGCACACATTAGTATGATGTGATTTGGCAAGGTAATACATCCAAATTTAATGTATTATGTTTTAACATATGTCTATCATTCATCCATCAATCAATCTATCACTATCAATCAATTTTATCAATCATCTCTTTTAACAAATGACTTTTAATGAATTCATAAGGAGTCGTCACTCTCTATCCGTCAGTGTAATCAGCCAATCAATTATTAGCTAACATATAGAAATACACCACAAACCTTTATAAGTAGAAGTCCACCCTTCTGTATAAGGTATTACATTTTAATAGACAAACTGTATTTATTAATGTGTTTACAACCAACCTTTATTGCTTACATGCAAATGTCATAATTGTCATATATCACTTGTGTTGATTTCTCTAAGCAATAAAGAATTATGCATGAAATGCTATGAATTGCCTAACAAATTTTATACTATTTATTAGCTTTAGAAAATCATAAATTTTAATTTACCCAGTGAAATTCAGTAATATTATTATCAAAATGCTTGTAAATTTTGTATCTAACCTATATGAAAAGTAACATATTAAAAGTATGAAGAATCAAGAGAAAATATATTTTTTTATTCATTTTGAAGAAATAAAGTTTGAGAAAATGAAATCATTAAAAGTAAAGGTAGGAATCGGGTTACCTATCATGATTAGAAAATTTTCATATTAGATCTAACATATGTAAATGCCTAAACCACTTTCTCTCTCTCTCTCTCTCTCTCTCTCTCTCTCTCTCTCCCCTTTCTTCCCCAATAAGCCACACCGGGGGGGGAGGAGGGATTGGGTGAAGGGTGGTAGGGGTAAATGGCTTAATATAAGGATTGAGATATTTATTATTTTAAAAATCACTAATTCCACCTAGTGATGTAGCGCTCAACTTTCTTGTGTCGCATCACACGCTGCATGAATACCAGCATTGCAAACACTCAATTAATTTTCAAAATTCCAGAGAACTTCGTGTTGAGGCGTCGCTACCCTAGCGCTGCAATGCTCACACAAGAAATTTTTTATATTTTCATTTTAAAATTATTTATGAAATTTTAAGGTCACTATAGGACATGTGATTAGTAGGTGTCCTAGAATTGTTAGTGATTTATCTTTGAGCATTGAATCTCCTTAGAAGAGGGTGGCAAGTCAATTATGGTTGTAAAAAAAAAAAAAAAGAGCTCCATGTTTAGATTTTCATGGTAGGGAAAGCTGAGGGCCTTTTGAGTAGACGTACACTTTCCTACCAATGTCGTAGCTTGCAACCTTTGGTGGCTTATACTAAAGACGACAGACCTCTCGAGGGCCTACAACATCATGTAGTGGTGCATGGAGGGCAATCTCAATGCTAGGTTCCAGAATCCCACATTCTTCTTCAAGGAGGCCTCCAAGAGCGAGGAGAGTGATGGTGCGAGTGCGACTAATGATTAGGTCGCACTTGCCCATCTTATCTTTTTTTTTTCTTTCTTTTTTTTACCTTAAGGGAAGCTTGTATATACAAAGTTATTTAATAAAACAAAGATTTTTCTTCTTACTCGCCTTTATTCATTTGTTTGTTCATTTATTTACTGCTCTGAAATTTTTCTAAGTATTGAGTTCAGCAACATTGGTATGAGTACTATGAGTGTACTAAGGCACACAACCATAGGCAATTGTAAAATTTTTCTAGTTTTTTAATTGCTTAATAAGCTATGAGTGAGTAGGTAGCTCAGCAATTCATCATGCGTAATTAGCTAATTCATCAATAATATATATCTTGGCGATGACCAGTGAAGTGGACTTTCTAAAAGCGATAAGCAACTCAGCCAATAGGTGAATAATGAACTAACTAATCCTTATTATAGCTTGGTTGTTAATAAGAAAAGCCTGTTTAAATAACTCAAGAATTTGAATATATAACCCAATAATTAAGTAAATACTGAGTTAACTCGGCATTAGGGCTAGTTGGTTAACGGTGAAAGCTAATTGAAGGAATTAAAAGGAGTTTGACAATTGATATTTAAAAGAAAACTCGGCGAACTTGAGCTCGGCACTTGAAAGAATATAATATAACTCATCGTAAGAGTAAATGTACATGAAATTGACACAAATAATGGGAACTTTTATTTGGTCCGGTGAATGTACGTAGAGCTACGTCCGGTCGGCACTAAGATTGCATGCACAAAATGAGAAATACCGAGCAAATACCGAGAAATACCAATAATAACGAATACCGAGCAATACCAATTAATAACGAGAAATATCATTAGGTGAAGACGAAATACCGAGTTATACCGAGCAATACCGAGTTATACCAAAAAATATCGAGAAAAACTCAGTATTTTTTGGTATAACTCGGTATTGCTCGGTATAACTCGGTATTGGTCTTCCCAGAGCGGTATTCCTCCATATTATCAAACAATACCTATCAATACCGAGCAAAAATTGAGTAGCAAGCCTCTAACCGGACGTAGATCTACGTCCGGTCAGAGGACGTAATAATTGTTCGCTAATAAAGGTGGGCTTTTTGGATCTAGAATCAAGTGGAACTTCACCAAGCCTGTGACCGGCCGTAATAATTGTCCGGTCAGACTCTTGCACTACTAGTTGTAGATCTTGTTGCAAAGCAGGGAGACGGCTTATAAGGATACTCACTATATTTGTTGAATTCCCTGTCGCTTTTAGTGAGAGCCTCATCTTGTTGATTCACCCATATAAGAACTCGCTCATACAAGAATTGCATAAGATATAGGAGGAACAAAAGCTTTTATTTTATAAAGGGAATATAAAACAAAGAAAAATTATAAGGACTAACCTATGTTACAACTCGCTCATAACCTTAGAGAGAAACCTAAAGAAAATTCTAGGGAAAATTTTTGTGAAAATATTTTGATAAATTATATTAAAAAGACTTTAAATCTGATTAAATTTATCTTATATTAATGCAAAATAAATTTTATTTAATTATTAATCTAAAAAACAATCCTAACACTTTTTTTCTTTTCTTAAACTGTTTAATCCGATTTTGAGCTGCGCTAACCGACTATGGCTCAACTATTTATAAGTTTGATCTTGATATGCGTAAAAAATCTGTTTAATTTTTTTAATCACTCATCTTTGAAGATAAACTTTTAATTCAACATATAAAGAGGAATGAACTCTTAGAAATAGAATGACAAACATATTCATCTTATAGATGATCTGATCACATAAAACATCAGTCTTCAGTCTTCCGATGACCTGATTAATAGTTGATATATTGGATATACCCTATGTAAAGAAAAGTAAAGAAGACCATAAAAGCCTTAGTTTGAAAACATTAAAAATACACTTTATTTATTAAATTTAAATGAAAATTTAACCCTTAATAAAACAATCCCCACTTATTAAACAAACAACACAAATAACTTCATAATCCATTATTAAATGACTATTTAGGCTTCGTTTGGGACGGCATTCTTAAAAAGCTGTTTTAAGCATCAGTAAAAAAAAGCCGTCCCAAATGAAGAGTCCATCAAAAGTCACCATAAAAGTCACCATAAACCAACAGAAAAAATACAGAAAAGCCTCGTTAACAAAAGCACAAGAATAACATATGGCAATCAATTAATACACGCTGTCAATGTTTCAAGACTATTTTAATATTAGCTTCAATGGCAGAAGCTATAATGCATATGCTGTAACAATTTCCACTCCATTCTGAAATAAGAATAAGAAAATGCACTCAAAAGAATAAACAAACTCGTGGCAGATGAATAATATATTACTTGTAACATCTGTATTCTTTCAGATTGTGGACTGCTTATATCTCTCCGAGTGCCTTCTGTATGTCTCTCTGCAAAATATTTCATGCGATGAAGAGAAATAACAGGAATACAAAAATTGATCATTTGCATCAATAGAAAGAATAATACTTTCCAATCCAATTCAACATATCTGAGTCCCCTCACAAAGGAATGCTTGCAATTATATGCAATTGTGGGGAAAGTTTTCACAGCGGGCAATATTTTGATTTTTTAAGGCTTTCTTTGGGATTGCTTTCTTACAACTTTTTAAAACAATTTTAAGAAGCAATAAAAAAACCTTTTTGGTGCTTTTTAAATCAACTTTTTAGTATAAAAATTAAAATATTTATACTAGAAAGCTAGTTTAAGAAGCAGCAAAAAAGCCGTCCCAAACAAAGCCTTAATTTGAATTGCCCACCGTGATAAAAATACTATTTAGGCAAACGGGGCTAAACTCATGACCGATCACATCAAGTTGGAAGATCATGATTAGACTATGAGAGATTTTTACAGCTACATGATTGCATCAACTTGGAAGATCATGATTAGACTATTAAGAGCTAATAGATTCATGTCAATCAATCGTAAATTTCATGTTGGCACGGGTAGCCACAATTATGAGTGGCTAAGAATCAGAACTCACCTCAATGGACAAAGGCGCTGTTGTAGGGCTATAACGATGAAGGACTTTGCCATCTCTATCTATAAGGAACTTGGTGAAGTTCCACTTGATTCTAGATCCAAAAAACCCACCTTTATTAGCTTTTAAAAATTTATATACTGGAGCAGTATCTGGACCATTCACTCGAACCTGAGAGAAGGGTACAATCAGAAGCTATTTAAAAATATGGTGCCAGTGACAAATCAATTATATCATTAAACATTAAATGTGAATACTAATAAACAGGGGATAAAAGTTATTGCATCAGCTCATAAAAACACATAATAGCAATCAAGTTACTTCTTACTACAGTCATTCCGATTGACAAGCTTCATCTCATCATCAACAACATTATAGCCTTTTATCAACAATACTTAGGGTCCGCTTTATGAATTCTCATTCTCCAAAAATTACTTTCTGATACTAAATGAGCTGTTAAACCTAATTCTACACATTATTTTTATATTAAACTCTACTCATTATATATTTGATCTGATCCTTTTTCTTCCTGATTTTTTGGGAGTTTTTTTATCTACCTATTTTTACCACAATCAATTGACAGGGCTGAGTAAGGACCACTTGCGAGAAATAGAGGTGCAGCTGGGTTACAAGTTGAAGTTGTCCCAAGGACTGATAACTAAATGGACTATTTAATCTCTAAAACGGATATCTTCCACTTTTGCAGACTTTAACTAACAGGATGAAAGAATTTTGAATATTGCATCGAGATAAGAAGGTACACCCTAAGTCACAGCAGTATAAATCAAATCAGCTTTCATATTGCTTAATCCATTAGCTAAGAAAATCCATTATACTTATAAAAGAAATTAAATGAACACAAATTAAAGTGTTACAAACTACTGGTTAAGATAACTAGCTAAATTATTGTTCTAACTTAATAAACCCTTAAAGTATAGATCAATTACAACAAATTAGAGCATCTCGAGTAGTTACCTCATTGACACAAATGGAAGACCATTTTCATGTCTATTTTATGCTCAAATGTTTGTTTATTACTCCTAATAGAGCCACAAAACTTTCATACCCCTCTGAAACAATTTATGTTATGAAACATTTATATATATATATAGAAACAATTTAATATAGCTTTGATCATTCGTATGTAACATTATGAAGTACTGAACATTGACGAAGAACAACTGAAGCAACGGCAAATATTGAGAGAGTAAGTTCATAGGGCTGGGTTTAAAACAAACTACAGGTATTATTGAGAAATATTTACTCAAACAAAGGCTTGAAAATATCGGACTCGTAAAAGATTCATGTCGGCTAAGAAAACACTATAACCAAATAACAGTTACATCTGTTTAATACAGATGGAAGTGAAATCTATATAATTATCTAAAAAATATTACTCAAGACAAGTCTCTCATTAATACCATGCAGATTATCAAATATGCCAAACCACATGCAGCAAAGATCTTCACTATTTTTTATTACTATTATTATTTCCCTTATTATTATGGATAATTTATATTCCTTCCTGTCTCTCCTTATGCCTATATATATATACCACACAATTCAATAAAGATGTAATTCTTTTTAATTTTCTCTTTCAAATAGTGTATTGGAGCATTCAAGATCCCTTTTCAAGTCGTTCCTGTGCCGACAGCTCACTGTCAATTGCTCAATGCGCCAAGCCTTTGGCCATGATTGCATCCATCCATCTAATCCACCCTCCCGTCTAATCGCATCTACGATCCAAACCCTAAACTTCAACCTCTTATGGAGTTGAGATCAATTGCAATGATCTCTTCATAGATGACCATATCATCATCTGTGTCATTCAGATATTTCTTACCCGACTCACATATCTCCTATGGTCATTATAGGTGTCATCTTTCATCCCACACTTAACCTTTCCCATCCATTTCCTCCCGAGAAAGATTAATGCTCCTCTCACAACCTTTTTTGATCAAATGCCCTCTTCCTCTACAATACCAGCCGTTGTTGTAACTTTTTTTTTTAATTTATTCATAAAGGAATGATAGTTCATTAAGAAAAAAAGAAGGGGTACATGATAGTACAAACCGGAAGGAAATCAACAATTCCTTCCCAACACCAAAAACCCCAAAAACAAAAAGGCATAGAAAGCCAAACAAAGAATAAAACAAAAAGAAAAAGAGAAGAAAGGAAAGGAAAAGCCCCTCAACTGACAAAATGAGGTCCGCCATGGTATCGAAGAGGGCACCAAAAAGGCAAATAAAAGATCACTCCAAACCAGCAATCTCATTTGATTTCAACAGCCACTACAATACGCACAAGAAGACATCAACATTGGTCAATTGAGGGGACCAAATCCCCGCCTAGGAGCTCCTCGGTTGCTTTTCTCCTCTTCCTTGGGGCAGTGGTGACAGGCTCCAGCTGCCACAGTTCTTTCCGTAAAGGACCTAGAGATGGTCTAGGTCTATGCTTGGAGATATTCAGGCTTTTGTTGGAGAAGCCCGTCTGGAGAGAATTCTGAGCAGAGAAGATTATAGGCTTTGGGATGGACACAATGGACATAAGAAGGGGGCACCACTTTTCATGTTTTGTAGAAGGTGAAGTGAGAAATTGGGCTTTCTCCTTCTAGTGAAGACGTTCCAAGAACCCAATTGGTCTACATTAGAAGATGGTAGCTGAGTAGACATAGGAATAGCACTATTCTGCAATTCCATATCAGTAGAAGAAAGATTACTGTCAATATAGCTATCATGATGCAGCTTAGCCTTGCGAGGGTGATCGATTGGAACTCCCCAATATGAGACCATCTTCTTGAAAGTTCACCATGAAGCCAAGCAAATGAGATTCGCTTGCCTAGAAGTTCTCAATTTAGTAAACTTTGCCAATGTTAAGGCTCAAGCAAACGCCATCCTCATCAAGCACCTCTTCTTTAAGAATCTTGTGTAAAGACATAAAAAGGTTTCCTCCGACCAAAATGGACTAGGCTTCGATCACCAAAAATAAGAAATTGCTTTTGGGAATTCTGTTTGGTAGATTGTGGTTGAAATTCTGCACCAACAACTACCAAATTAACAGAAAATTCCATAGAGGCATTAACACAAGCATCTGAAATGCAGTGTTTTGTAGCAATGGGCTCTTGAGCTAAGGGATTGTGATTGATTACACAACTGCAGGAAGACAAGCCATCCATGCTCCCATCCAAAACATTCACACAATCCAATCCATAAGCATCATTCAATTCCCTACATTCAGACAAAGGAAGGACATTCTGACCTGGAATTGCAACCTCCGACAAGAGCTTGCACAAGGAAGAGTCATGGTCTTAAGGGGCGGACAAAGTCCCAAACCGTAATCCCTCTGTTCAACCAAGACTTGCACAATACCCCTATCGATACGTTCAGACATAACGGCATGGTCGAGTTCCTTAAGCTCATAATCAACTGATGAAACTTCTGCTGCCAAAATATCCTCACCCGTGAGACCATCCTTCAAAACCTGATCGCACAACTCCGATTACTTTCCTTCCAAAACCTTCCAATAATTTTCATGCCTAGAAGCTTTTCTACCACCACTACCCCCGCCAGAGCGAGGAGAACACCGACGGCCACTCCTCACCATGGAGCCATGATCGAAATATTTTTAGTGTGAGATTGTAGTTTTCTTATATGAGGTAGATTAGGTTTTTGTGTTTGAACCACCCTAGCCGTTGTTGTAACTATACTATAAGTACGGAGCTTGATCCTCAACCACTATGATTGTCATTTGTGCTCTAAGCTACAACCTGCATTGGAACTCTCTCATGGTTGCCTATCTACTTGACAATGATACAATCTATGAATCACCTCTTTGCTTCAATTCATCCAACAACCTTCTCCAACTATTCATATGATTGCTCCTTTGTGCATGTAACAAATCTCCACCTTATCTTCCCTTTGAAGCACTCCTCTTTTCTTGCTGTATAATTTTTCCAAGCACACCCATCGTGTCATTGCACCCCTTAAGTAGCCTAGAAAGAACTTTGCCACCAACTTCGACATCCTTGACCTAGTGTCAAGACCGACACCCTTGACAGGCGAACACCCACCTCAACTCATCTAATCTTGACATCACAAAACCCATGAACCACTGTAACGATCACACCATTATTCGTAGCCATTCTCCTTCCTTCACCAACCTAAATCAACACGCCATTTCATTATGTTCAGGCTTAACTTCCATTGCGATCTTGATTTCACTTCACAACACCTTAGCTACATCATCACCAATCTCAATCTCCCTGGCCATGAGCCCTCCTGTTGCTAGCAACTGCAATGCTTCATCATCCATGAGAAGATCCTATTGAAAACATTGTCTGCTTCTCGAGCTTGATGTTCATCATAACTTTAGGCTTAGGCTTCCTTCACCACATCTTTAAAAAAAGATCTCACTGATTCTATCTTTTTAGTATTTCAACAACTCTTTATCCTAATTTAACCACCCTTCTTCAGGCTTCACTTCCACCAATCATGCGTCACATAGAATCATTGGAATCCTATCATTAATCAAAGCCTCCTAACTTTAAACCAGATACAAATAACCACAAACAAATTGAGATCTCTCAGCAAAAAACTTCCTTTCCTTTCACTTTACGAGCACATTGCCCGAGTACTCGCCCATGATGTCCACTATGGCGATAAAATCAAACCACAGCTGCAATATTTTCAACCACCTCGATGAAGGCATAGACATCTATTGCATATATGTCTCCATGCACGATGAAATGTTAATGACGTCCTCTACCAATACCTTTATTGATGTTTCTCTCGACAACAACTCATTGGGCCAGATCTCCACCAATGATTATTTGGTTGGTGATCTCTCTCAAAGAACCAGTCCAATGATGATCTATAGCCAACCCTCCACTGCCAAGATCACAATCACGGATTGATCCATTGACTTCTCCATTAAAGCATCTATCAATGATCTTCATCAATGCCTTTGTCGATGCCATTGTCAATGCTCTCCATTAATACCTTCATTGATGCTTTTAGCCAATACTTTCATTGATTCTTTTTTGATACCTTCAATAATAAATTAAAGCAACGAATTTCCATCTTCCTAAAAATATATGTGCCCATGCCTATAGTGAAAGCTAGAATGAGGACATTTAAAATTTATGTCAAAATATTCTCTTCTTGATCTTTACC